CTCAATTAGGGACCAGGAAGACTCCAGCACCCACAGACACACTCTCAAGGAGCATGTGTGCTCATTGAAATACAACTAATCATTAATGAATGCATGATTAGTCACTAACCAGTAAATGTAAACTTGGGTGGGCTTCTTTTAATCATGTAATGGTATCAGTAAACCATGGTTTGAGCTCAGGCAGCCCTGTGGAACATCACCCAGCTCCTGGCCTTGTGCAAATCTGTAACAAAGAAACACCTCGACCCTGCCTGTGTTTGGCTCTTGGCACACCAGGTAAAGAACCCAGATGTGGGACAACAGGACACTGTGTAACACCTGTAAGCCAAACTCGGATTTATTCCCAGGAGTGTCCTAATGTTTTCATCAGGGGCATTACAACAGTCAGAAATGTCCACACAGGTGGTGCCCACTGCCAGCTGTGGATGGTGCAGCTTGTCCCACAGGTTCCAGTGGAGAGGGCATGTCATGGGCAGGGCAGCAGTTAGTGAGCTGACCTTGGGTGTGAAAGGAATGCTCTTCTGCTGGCCTGAAAAGCAAAAAGGAAAGGAGAGTCACTAGACCAGTGTAAATCCAAAGAACGTTAGGTCTCCACAAGAGATGGGGTGGAGAATTTCTGTAGTCACAGATGAAATGGCTGAGTTAGATGTAGGAGATCACATATTGACTTACTATTTGTTAGGTGTAGCAAATATTGGAATAACTTGTCAGCTAAGTGTCCACAACTGCAAGGATAAAGGAACCAGTATGTTTTCATAAATTTGTAGTGGTTGTATTACAGCAATTTATTGATACATTTGTTTTAACCCTCAGAAAAGGGTAGAAAAGATTTGTTTTTCACTCACAACTGCTAAGTACCTTTTCTTGCTCACAGCTAAAGGCAGGACATCGCTTACACTTTTCCCAATGTGCTTCTCTCTGTCCTCTCAGCATACTGGAAATGCTTTTGTGAAGGTTTCACTCAGAGGAAAGGAAAGCTTTGGTTTCTCTGCCTGACCTGAGCTCTCCTCCCTCTTAAGCCAAACATAAGCTTTGTGGCATTACTTCCAAGGACCTTCAAATCTCATCTCTTCTCACTCCCTGCTGAGAAATCAACACTTGCCTTCCAGTCATCTCAAAATTCCATCCTTGGCTGCACCAAGAGCACTTGACTTCTTGCCTGCTTCCTGTTGTTGATGGGATGAATTCTTCCTTAGTGTTTGGTCAACATCTATTATCCTTCTAAAAATCCTCTCTTAAAACCCATGTTTGCTGTGATTTCAAAGATAAAGCAATAGCTCCTCATTTACTGTCCTTCCTCTCATTGCTTTTGTTCTATTTTGAGGATATCATCCCTCAGTGTTCCAAAGTAATGGTGGTTTTTGTAGATGAGAATTTTTCAAATTTTTACTTCTTACTAAAGCTATAATTTGCCAATAAAATGCCAAATTTATAATGATTTAGCTCCTGGGAGCTTGTCAATGGTCATTTTGTCTCCAAACGCTAGCAGGAGCTGCAGACAAATCTTAGTCAGTCTTCTGATTGTAAAGAGGAAGATTCTCACTACTATTTTATGGGGATTAGGGAGGTAACCCTGACAAAAATGAAGGTGAAAGCTTCAGATGCCTGGTGATGCTCTTACAAAAACGATTAAGAGCAAGGCCCTGTTTCTGAAAAGTGTCATGTGTGAAGAAGAATGTTGAAAGAATTGTGCTGCCTGAGGTTTTTATGGGGTGGATTTGAAGGCAGAATGGATTGATTACCTCATGGATTTGATTGCCTCACTAGTAGAGAGCTACAATACTGTTGAAACTAACAGTTTTTGTGGAAAAAATGTTTTCTGGTGGAGTATGCTAGCAGACAGTTCAGCTCCTGAGTTGGTTCCTGAGGCTAACTGTGTGGTGACAGGCTTTGCTTGCAATGCAGCCCAAGCCCCTGGGTGAGAGGCTTGCTGGTGTTACTCAGAGTAAGGACTTCAAAATCCACCAAGCCCTGCACGGTTCTTGGAGAGCAGATTTCCACAAAGAGCTGTGGAGCTTCCACCTTCTCAGCTAGCCAGAGGAGCTTACTTCTCCCACTGAACAGACGTGTCAGAGGAATGAACTCCTGTCTCCAGCTGTTCAAGCAAACAGGATCTTTGTTGGAGAAACTTTGGGACATGTTGTTGACAGGGTGAAACATCAGTTGTGCACTTTCTAAAGAGCACTCCCAGCCTGAAGTTTGTTCCAAGTTCCTGCTGTGGATTACAGCTTTATGTCTGCTTTGCCATGCTGAATACTTGTGCTGGTTGCCATTTGTAGTGCTGTACTAAATTGAGTGATCAGTCTTTTATCACATCCTGGTCTCCAGTGTCCCAGTTTACTGTGTAATTGACCAGTGTGGTGCTGGGATGCCACCGTGGCTCTCCTGGTGCCAAACCAAGTGATTCTTTCTGCAACAGTGTGTTATTCCTGCCAGAAAACAACTGGAAGGACTTGTGTCCTTCTGCATGCAGTCCCTGGTAAAGACTGGACAAAATGATGTTAGCCTCTGACTGTGGACTTAGTGTATGAACCATGACTGGGTGGTTAGTGAGGTGATGAAGTGCTCACACAGTAAGGTTAAAATGTTTTAAACTATCACAGAATAATTGCAATCTGAAAATATGTCAGTATTTTACAAGAATTATTTCCTACTGTGGAGCACAGTTATGCTGTGCTTAAATCTGCTTTCTGAGTTCTTCCTGAAACTGTGCAGAGTGATTATGTGCAGTATTCTCTGTGTTCTCATTCTGAATATGTGCAGTACTCTCAGTCCTGCCTTGGACAATTAGTGCCTACCCCTGGGGAATTGTGTCACGGGAGCCCTGCTAACACAGGCTGTGAGTTCTTCAGGTTTGCTCTCACTTATTTTTGGTGTTTTGTTTTTATTTTGGGCTCTCACAAATGGGTCCAGAAAATTGAACTAGGAAAACAAAGTGAAAATCTGTAATCATCAGAGCTAATGTGCAGAAACAGCACAGTACAAAGCTGACTGCAAATCTCACTCTGTGTGACCTGTGTTCTTGGAAAGATGAAGATGGAAAGAAACTACAGTTCTTTCCATGTGAGCTTGTGTAGTGTTTCATACAGGAGAATGTGTGTTGGCTTCTAATGGTTGTTTAAAAAACAAATGCAGACTTTAAAAAGTGTGTTCTCAGTTAAAAACAGCAGAGTGGTACAGCAGCAGTTCTCAGAACTCACAGCTCCATCGACCTGCTTTGTTCTAAGCCAACAGCATTTTCTGTGACCCTTTGGAAGGCTCAGTGACTGCAGTGCCTGGGCAGTTGGTACCTGTTTCAAACGTGCCATCACTTAACAGTGAAATTTCACACAAGTTCAGCCCTTGGTCCTGTATCCCTTGAGACTGTACATGTTCTGTACATTTTGAAGGAGGTGATGAAAGGTTTCCATCTGAAGCAGGCATGGAGTTTTTATTAGCTGAATAAAACTACCCATTCCATATTAAAAGAAACTCACTCCCATGACTGTTGGTCAGACCTGCTGATTTTTGGTTGTGATTCAGCAGAAGCACAGTGGTCATTCTGTTGAATATTTTCCATGTATGAGGTAAGATGTCACTAAACAATTTTTTTTCAAGACTTCTCACCTAACAAAAAATTACCTTAAAAGGCCCAGTGCAGTTTTGTGTTCAGTATCACATGATGATGACTGTGAGTCTCAGTGCACACCAGGGACCTGTTGTGCCAAAGGAGGCTTGCTCAGTGTAAGGCCTGGAAAGGCTTCTTTGTAGGCTGCTGGTGCTGGCAGGATTCATGGGGGTGCAGGGACATTGCCACAGGGTTTCAGCAGCCACATCCCTGCTGTTCTGCTGTGTTTTCTCATGTAGGAAGTATTCCCACTTTATAAAAACAAAGTAGCTTTGTAGGATGGTCCATTGTCTGTGCGTGGGTTAGAGGTAAGAATTTGCTTGCTGGAATTTGTTATGCAGAGGCTGATGGGGTGATTTGTAAATTGTGTTTGGAGCAAATGAGGCAGTGGCTGCTGAATTTGTGACTGGAGTTTGATGCACTCTCTTGGCTGCATTGTCTGCCAGCTGATGTGCTCTGGTGAAATAAATGCTGTGCAAAACAGCTTCTATGCTACCCGTGCTTTAGGGTGCTTGTGTTTCAGTCACAACTCCAGAGGAGGGGTACTCAGATGTTTGCCTTGAGTAATGTCTCTGGTTGGGAGATCTACTAAAACTGCACAAATTCACCATCCACAGTGTCTTGGTCAGAGAGCCCACCAGTAAGGCTGGGACTGAGCTGGGACATCTCACTGAGCCAAGATGGACAAGTGACAGGAAGGGCAGTGGCCTGGAACAGCAGTCTGAGTGAAACCTGGTTCCTTGTCATCATAATTTTGTACAGTAAAAGCACCAAAAAATAATAGGATACAAAATTGGGGTCTTTTTTAAGTGACTGGTTAAAAACTCCAGCTAAAGAAAGAGCTAACGTGGAGGATAAAACATACCCAAAGGGAAGGATTGGAGGTGGCATGTCCGTGGGGGAGTAGCCTTGCTTCAGCTTGCAGGTTGCTGTTCCAGTCCATGGTTTAAAATAAACTCACACAGGTGTGGTGTGAATAAACGTTTTAAAAGAGGCAGAGGGTGAGGGATCAGTTCTGGTTTCACAGGAGTAGCTACCAGTGCACAGGTCTGCACTGGGATTCAGACTGACTCCTGTTCCTCTTTCACCCTACCTGTCCCTGCTGAATGCATCCTGGTAGGACCCTGCTGCAAAAACTGGAGCTTACAATATGTGTAGCAATAGAAAGGAAGTAATTTTTTCTATGAAGAAGCCCAGTTACCTTTTACATTAGTTTTTTTATAAGTAATCCATTTTATGTTGGCCTAATTAAAGCTTCTCAACCCTTCATTTTCCATGCCTGAGTAGATTTGCCAACATTTGAGGAATACAAGCCCAAGGTAACTAGTCCCTGCATTAATGCAGCCAGCAGTTTCCTGCTGTTTATGTACTGGTTTTCTCTGTTTGATTGCAGGACGGACGCTTGACTTTTTATCCAGGAAACCAGACTGTGGATTTGCCTTCCATCAATTTTATGAAGACTCATGGCAGTGTCTTTCTCAATGCCTACACCAATTCTCCCATTTGTTGCCCTTCCCGTGCAGGTAGGACCAAACAACACATCACATAAATACTTGCACGTGCCAGTTTAAATATTTTGTCACAGTGGAACATTTCAAAGGGTTTAATTCAGGAGAATTTGTTTTTCAAAAAGACCTATTTTTTTTTTCTTTGTGCCTGAATTTGTACCTTATTATCTTGTTTGATCTGTATCTCATGCTTCTACCTTCCTTTCCCCCCTCACCTTATTCTCCTTTTCTCAGCTCTATGTGAGCTCCTGAATCTTTTTGCAAACTCCCCTGAAGCTTCAGGGTTTCTTAAAGGTCTTCAGGATTTATGGAGAAATTGTCACTTTGTCTGCTACTCTCCATTCCCAGTACAAAGTTAGTGAATCTCCTTACTGTTCCCAGGAAAAAGTGCTGAGTGATAACAGCTGAATACACTAGTGGCTGCTGGCACTGCCTTCCAATGGTGTTTATTCCACACACTTCTAAATACATGATGTGTCCTGCAGCACCTTCTGCAGGCTTTTCCTTTACTTGCAGTTTCACACTTGCAGAAGTTGCTGGGAAATTGGAGGCTGTATTCTTGAGTCCAGGGTTACATCCTGAAACATTTCTGTCCCTTTCAGTTGTTGCAAAGACCCTCCCCCCCCCCAAAGGTGACATAAATGAAATTTCACCTGTAGCTGAAAGGGAGATCCCCCATTCTCTCTAACAGGTGTTGAGAAAAGTGGCTGGTGCTGACTGCAGCAGGCACAGGCTGTCAAATTTAGTGTAGTGTTTAGTGTTCCATGTATTGATAACCTAGTCCCCTTTTCTGCTTCTCAAACTCATGTTTTAAGTGAGTGAGATCCCATGATTTCTGAGCCTTTCAGCCAGTCTTTGTTGTTGAGGACAATAACTTTGTGTTAGGTTATTTAATTTTAAGAGATTTTAGTGAAAGCAGCAGGTAGTGCTCCCAATAAGAAAGAGGCTGCTTGATGAATTCAACAGTTCATCAGTCCTGTTCAGAGTTTTAGGTGGTCCATCAACATCATCCTGACCACTTCAAGGGTAGCAGTGAACCAGCAGGACACCTCTTGTGTAGCCAGTAGCTTGGAGACCTGCAAGGAACTGGGGGTGCATCTGTTTTGGAGGTGTCAGAGGTGATGCTGGAAGAGAGGGTGGGAAGGCAGACCTTGGAGTGGGGCAGGTAGGAGTGTTGCCATGATATGGGGCTGAGGATGACACGTTGTGCCTACAGGGTATTTCCATGGCTCACAGAACAGTTTAATTTCAGAAGACTCCCTTTTAATTAGCACTGGGGAAGAGTGAACGATTCTCAACAAGCTGCAAAGAAATTAGTGCACAGGAATGCACCAATAAAAGCTTTCCTTATAGTTCCTTTGCAGGTCTTCCCTTGATTTCATTTCTTCTTCACCTCTTCTTTAATGACCTTGCTTTGTTTCTGCTGCTGGTAGTGAAGTAGATGACCTAAAAAGGATAAAACTGAGGGCATATAGTGCTTATAAAAATAATATACTCTGATTTGCTCCACAAACATACTTAACTTTAAATCCATTTTAAAATCTTAACTGAAGTAAGGGGAGAGGATACTGTGGAACACATATAAATCCATGACTGTTTAATCAGGATCTGCACCACTATGGGATTTTCTTTGTACAGTCAATAAGAATGTTTTGGGATCTACAGAAACCCTTGATTTAATGATTCCATAGCACCTGGAAAGATGGGACCTTCTGTGGATCTGGGGATTATTTCAGTAAATGTTGTTACTGGTGTTGAGGAGGAAAACAACATCTGAAAGAGTAATACTTTGTGTTCCCTGGTCTGCTGGATCACAGTGTGGACTTCTTACCTCTGAAATAATGAGATAATTGTTGGAGAAAACTCTGCAAGTTTATTCCATCCACATTTATATAGGCAGTACCATTTACTCATCAAAACCCATATTTTATTTTTATTTTCCAGCTATGTGGAGTGGCCTTTTCACTCATTTAACAGAATCTTGGAATAACTTCAAGGGTCTAGACCCAGATTATGTGACGTGGATGGATCTCATGGAGAAGCATGGCTACCGCACGCAGAGGTTTGGGAAGCTGGACTATACTTCTGGGCATCATTCAGTAAGGTAATCAGATAAATCCTCCTGCTGTGAAACAGGCAGCAGCAAACAAATCACAGAATGGTCTGGCAAGTGGGTTTTGTCTTTGATTGAAGTGGTAGTAGCTTTAATTTAAAGGAAATTGTGTTAGGAGCCAGCTCTATGCAGAAGCGTATCCCCTGCGAATGCACTTGGGCTTTTGTAGCTGAAAGGTGAATGTCAAGACACTGATTTTGCCCAACAAGGTTGAAGGTTATTTTTCATTACTGGTATTGCTCCCCAAGTGAAATTCATAAACTGTTTTTGCCTTGCCTTGAGACTGTCTGTCTTGATTGTAATAGCAGTGTAGGAAAAACAGAACAAAAAAACCATAAGTGATAATACTTAAATTTGCCATCACAAAACATGAGGTGTTTGGGTTTTTTTGAAGGCCATGTTTTTGCAGATTAGTACTGTTGTGGTGGGTTGACCCTGGCTGGATGCCACGTGCCCACCAAAGCTGCTCTATCACTCCTCTCCTCAGCTGGACAAGGGAGAGAAGATGGAACAAAGGTCATGGGTCAAGATAAGGATGGGGAGGGATCCCTCAGCAAGTACCATCATGGGTGAAACAGACTTCACTTAGGGAAATTAGTTTATTACCAATCAAAAGCAGTGTAGGCTAATGAGAAGTAAAATAACATCTTTAAACACCTTCACCCCACCCCTCCCTTCTTCTCCCATTGAACTTTACTCCCAGTTTTCTCTACCTCTTCCCCCAGAGAGGTGTGGGTGGAAGGAGAACAGGGATTTTGGTCAGTTGATCACACTGTGTCTCGGCTGCTCCTTCCCCTCACACTATTCCCTGCTCCAGGGTGGGGTCCCTCCCATGGGAGACAGTCCTCCACAAACTTCTCCAACCTGAGTCCTTCCAACAAGCTGTAGTTCTTCACAGACTGCTCCAGTGTGGGTCCCTTCCATGGGGTCACCAGTCCTGCCAGCAAACTGCTCAGCATGGGCTCCTTTCTCCAGGGGTTCTCAGGTTGTGCCAGGAGTCTGCTGCAGTGCAGGCTGCCCACAGGGTCACAGCCTCCTTCAGGCACCCACCAGCTCCAGTGTGGGTCCTGCACGGGCTGCAGGTGGAGATCTGCTCCACTGTGGACCTTCCTGGGATCCAGGAGAACAACCTGCCTCACCATGGTCTTCACCATGGGCTGCAGGGGAATCTGCTCTGGCACCTGCAGCACCTCCCCCCTCTGTGTCTGCAGAGCTGTTTCATGAACTCACTATTCTCTTTGACTGTTGCTGAGCAGGGCTTCTCTGGCCCTTCCTAAATGTGTTATCCCAGAGGTGCTGCCAGTGTCTCTGATGGGCTCAGGCTCATCCAGCAGAGGGTCTGTCCCAGAGCTGGTGGCTCTGGCTCCATCCAGCACGGGGGAAGCTTCTCACAGAAGCCACTGCTGTGGCCCTGCTGCCAAACCTTGCCAGGCAAACCCTACACTGCTGCACCTCCCATGCTGTAAAGCCTGCCTTTTAAAAAAAATGTGACTAGAATTACAGCTGTTTATGAAAAACAGTTAAACATTTAGTGAGTAACTGCATTATGTTGAAAAAATAAGCATCATGTGGCTGGACAAAGCACATAATCTTCCTTCTGTGTACTTTTCATGAAGATAACACTGTCTCACTGATTTGAAATAAGAAGAGTAGCTTCTCTTTTATATCAGACAGATCATAATTACTTAAAATTTCCTCATTTCCCTCAGCAGAATGAGCAATCATTGATGCCCACCCTTTAACCTCACTTTTGTGCTTTCTTTATATTTTTCTTTCTGGTATTTTCACATTTGAATGGTTCTGTTGATACCAGTCTGAATATTTTTGTCATAAGTCTCTTAGAATTAGACAATTCAGGGTTTTGCAGAACTGTAGCAGCAGCAGCAGCAGTATCAGTGGTGTTACAGCCCTGTACTCTGTTTTTTTCTCACCCTGCCATGTATAGATTCATCTGCTTTAGTGGTAGAGTCTGAGTCTCACAAACAGAAATTATGGTGTAACCATACAGTCACATCATGTTTGCAAAGCTCTGGGTCCTAGAAGCCTGAGTTCTTGGGCACTTCAGAGATAACAGAAGAATGTGGTCAAGTCCATGGTGTTGCTGGGTTTAGTTCTCTTCTGCCCCAGGCCTTTATCTTCCCTTTTCACCTGGAGCAAATTTTTGATACATTTTTTTTCTAATTTTTCCTTCACTGAGATTTTGAGATCTCTACCTCAGAGGATCAAGCCCTTCCTGTTACTTGAAGAAGTGTGGGTAGGATTTGAGAATAAATGACCAGGCATGGTTAGGCAGCCTTTCTATGCCTACACGAGAGGAGCTCAAAAATGGCAATTTACACTGTTTTTAATTAAAAAAAATGAAAACTGCAAATACAGTTCCTCAGCCAGAGAAAAACCTTCATCATGTTCCTGCTGTGGCATCTGTGTAGAGATTTAAAACCCCTAAGTAGCCAATTAGGCAATCTATAAATGGTGTAGATGAGTTATAACAAAGGTTCTTCTTCATTATGGAGAGAATTTAAATGTCCTGCTGCTGTTTGACTTTCTCATTAAAAAGGAGACAAGAGTTACAGAACAGATCAGGTCAGGCACGTTTCTGCAGGCAGTATTCTCTCTTCAGAAGCTTCCCTGAAGCACGTATGTTGTTTCTTTAAACAACAAAACCAACACTGCTCCTTGATCCTGTCTGTACCTAATATTGTTAACTTCTCTGCTGCACCATTCAAGCTGTGTGACACAAACTCATTCTGCTCTGTCCTGAGGTATTGCAAATACCACATTGCTAACCCAAATACTTCCTGTAACTACCAAAGTTTATTTCTCTTACAAATGCAAATAGTGAAAGATACTTAATATCCATTTCAGTGTAGCTTTCTCCTAAGAGAATTATTCACAGCTCTGAATTACTGAGGTTTGTGGAAGAGTGTGTCTAGGAGGTGTATACAGATTCCTTTTAAAGATTCTTATTTGGGCAAATCATTTTCCCCTCATCTGCCTGAGGATTAATTTTCCTCCTGGATGTGTCAGAACATCTCCTTTGTTGCTTCAGAATGTGGAAAGGGTCTGAAATGAGATTTGGGTGGTTTGTTTGTTGGCTTGTTTGTTTGTGGGTTTGTTTCTTTTTTTGCTTGTGGTTTTTGTTGTTTCGGGGGTTTTATGTTTCTGTTTTTTTAACTTCACCCAAACCCCAGTCTGACCAGACTGGCCTGTGGCCCACGCAGTGCTTGGTGCTGTGTAACTCAGCATGACTTTGGATGCAGTTTGACACAACCACCCTCCCCCTTCACCACTGCTGCACTCTAATGTGTATGAAACCTGCTCTCTCTGTAGGCTGTCTAGCTACCTCAGTTTGTTCTAGGCAATTTCTTTAAGCTTGTTTACTTTGGAAGTTTGAACCTAAACAAGGAGTTAGAGCTAGAAGAAATTATTGTTGGGGATAATTCCGAGTACTGTTTTCTGGAGGTTTAAGAGTGCACTGGTAAAATTCCTGTGGGGATAAAACTGGTTAGATTCTCTTTAAGCAGTAATAACGTTGTATTTCGATCAAAGTACGTGATCAAATCTCAGTCAGTTTTATATTTCCTTCTGTAATTTCTTTGGTTATATCAAAATTACCATGAACAAAATGGAGGTTAGTCGAGGTCTCAGATGGGCTGTTTCCTCCCAACCCTTGTTCATGGCAGTTGTGGTAAAGTTCTGGCAAAGAAACAAGGAAATCCACAGCTCAGATTTCTCAGTGTTTTAGAGGAACACCAATTGTCATTGCATGAGAAAATGTGTTCAAAAAATACTTCATCATTAAACCTCTGTCTTCTTTTTCCCCTCTTCTTGCTTTCTCTACACCCTTCTCCTCTGTTATTCCCTGGTTTTGATAGGATTGATCAACTCTATCAAAAGCAATTGTACAAGGTAAATCACTCTTACAGATTTTTATCATAAGTTGAAGTGTTTAAAAATGTTGTAGTGGTAAAACCCAAGGTCAGAACATTGCTTCTAAAGGCAGCCTCTCCAGGCAAATTATTTTCCACAGAACATTTTCAAATCAGAAAAATCTAAGGCCCTTTTCACCAGAGGAATATATGTGAATCCACGCCAGAATAGGGAGCAGGGTCAGCAAGATGGAGATGCTATTTCTAAATATTTTTTGCAAGAAACATTCTGACATGAAGTTAGGATAAATAAGAGAGAAGATTCGGGAGCAGAAAAAAAATTACTAAAGGTTTGAGTGTAAAACACATGCACCATAGCTATTGAGTGACAACACTTCTTGATGTAGAAATTAGAATAGGTTGCAGCTACCAGTACAGGGGGAGTTCTTCAGGAATTTTAACTTTTTAAGGGGGAAAAGTGAAGAAAACATTTTCCACTGGGTATCTTGTGTGTGTGTTTCAGTAACCGTGTGGAAGCCTGGACCAGGGATGTTGATTTCCTGCTCCGTCAAGAGGGGAGGCCTATGGTAAAACTTACTGGTGATAGGAGCCATGTGAGGGTGATGGAAGCAGACTGGCAAAACACTGATAAAGCAGTAAAGTGGATAAAGGAGGAAGCCATTAACCTCACTCAGCCTTTTGTCCTTTACCTGGGACTGAATTTACCACACCCATACCCATCACCCTATGCGGGAGAACATTTTGGAGCCTCCACATTTTTAACATCTCCTTATTGGCTTGAAAAGGTATGTGAAAGTGAAATTTAAATCTAAATTTACATGTAACTGTGCTTATCATGAACAGTTTTTATTTTATTTGTTGTAATTCTTCAAGTCAGACTCAGTTTTGGTATTTTAATCCACAGTAAGAAAGTACTTGGATGAGGTGTTAGATTTCTGATTTAAGGCTAAGTAAACATAAATTAATAATTTCTCTCTGTAGGGAATAAAGAAATTTGGAGTTCAGTGCCTAGAAACACATTAAATAGGGAATGAAATCATTGCTAGATTTAGCTTTTTTTTTTCAGTAATGGCCTGAAGTTCATTATTTATAACATTTTGTACTGTGCTTGCTGTAAATGATGCTGTGTGTAATCGTTCTGAGTTTTATAGTGAGAGATTGTCTTTTCTGACAATATGAGCCTAGAACATGAGGTAGTAGGACAGAGCACAGGTCTCTTTTCTGTTAGTTTTTTTCCATGCTGCTGTAGCTTTTTGATGTGTTTCAGAGTGCAGAAAAGCCCTGTTATGTCTGCATGGGGAGAGCAAGCAGCATTCTGTTCCAAAGAGCCAGAAAATATCTTTTTTTCTCTGTCTTTTGTGGTTACCAGATGTCATCATCTGTCACAAAAATAAAAATTAGGTTATAGCAGCTTTCAGTGCATAAAGGCATTAAGAGTCTCTGCAGTTGAAGAACTGAGAATTAGGTTTGAGAAGACCTTATGATTACCAAAAACCATAATGCAATTGATGTAACTCACTTGGTCTTTTCTGCTGAGGAAATGCAAAATCTCTTCATCCAGGGGCAACAAAAAAGAGTTGGACAAAAGGATGTACAAGTAAGGGTTGAGAGATGTGGATTTCTTGGTAGTAGTGAGGTGTTGTGGCTTCTGTCCTTCTAGGAAAGATGAGAAGTTCAGGGGGAAAGGAAGAGCAAAAAAACCTTCATTTGCAAGAAGCAGGATCTAGCTTGGATATTAAGGAAAATTTTCTAGGTGTTAATAGCTAGGTCAGATGTGGGGGTGCCTTTTTCAAGGCACAGAGGGAGTCATAACATCTCTGACAGATTTTTGTCATCCTTAATCCAGTCAGAGTGTTTAAACTCCATAGTTTGCTGGGGTCCTTCCCACCACTACACACAACGAACTCCTATTTCTGTGTGTTGACCACCAGCTGATCCTTCTGGAATGTGTCTGTGTTTTGGCTGGGGAAGAAGCAGTCTTTGAAAAGGATGAGAGCTGAATCTGATGAAGAGGTTTGAGTGGAGAACTTGAATTAAATTGCAGGTTTACTGTGGAGCTAATGCAGAACGGAGTACCCACAGAGGTGTTCAGGAAGGCCTGTGGTACAAGGTGTTGCTGGACAGGTGGCCCCTGGCTGTTTGCACAAGCTGACTTCTCTCAGGGCACATGGCTTCTTCCCTGGTGTGAATTACCACAGAGACCAAGGGGTTATGCTCTGTGAACCCATAAAACTAGGCTGTAGTCTTGTAGAAGGGTTCAGTCTTGTGACAAATTGTGACACTTTCTATCCCCATTGTATCTTAAGCACTGAATAAATACCACTTGAGGAGTCTAAAAGATGGCTTCAGCAATAGGAGAGATGAGTGAAGCACTTGTCTGATGTTATTTTATCTCCATGATTTCTTGTTTTCTGTAGGGCCTAAGGAGGCTTGGGTTTGGTGTGTCTGTTGGAGTATTCCAAAGCCAGGTTTTATCCCTAGGGGCACTTTTCCTCATGCTGTCTTGCCAGCTGTTTGGGTGATTCAAATCATGTGTTAGATAACCCAAGAGAGGATGTTGACTGCTGTGGGAGGTGGAACTCTGTGGGTGTTGGAACTCTGTGGGTGTTGGAACCCGTGGTGATGACAGCATTGGTGGTCAAAGACCCACCATGTGCTGGAGAGAGAGACATGACACTGGGCAGTTTTCCCTGCTGAGTTTGCATCTCTGCTTTGTGGTCATTTGTGCAGAGGTAATTAACTCCCAGATGCAGCAGCTCATGCAGGGGAATGCATGCAGGTGTGGCTGCCTAGGCTACATGTTAAGCCAGGCTTGGAGGCTGTAAAGCTGGTGCTGCAGCACACAGCATCTGTGAGTGTGCCAGTTTAAACACACAAATCCAGCTGTTTTTGTAACTGATTGCTTCCTACTTGTTACTTTCAAACTGATCTTACACTTCTTTAAACAGATTGACATCTGTAGGAACAGGAGAGTATCAGAAAATGGGACTAATGCAGTGAATTATTTTTATCAAGATGTGAAGACTTGCCACCCACTGTCCTGGAGACCTTCCCAGACAGAGTGGATTTCCATGTCATCCTCTAGGCTCACCTAACACCCAAAATTTTTGGAGCACGTGGTTCCTAGTTACCCTGCAGTTCATGAGACACCACACCAGCACTTCTGAACCCACCCTAGGGTACAGTTCTAGAAGACTGTTCTATGGTCTCTCCCTGAAAACAAGGCATCAGCTGGCAAGCCACATGTCTCTGTCTCCTGGCCTTGGCTTCTAGCTGTTTTTTTAGCTCTGCTATAAAATTACTTGATAGCTGTGGGAGCAGAGGGGAAGTACAGAAGAGGGAGCAGCACCACATAGCAGATAAGCAGCTGGTGTTTTGTGGACCACAAACTGAGAACTGTGAATTTATGCTAAAAAGTTTGAAATTAAATGTGTTTGTTTGTTTGTTTGTTTGTTTTCTAATTATTTCATTCAGTTGCTAATGTTAATTTCTTCTTACTTTTAGGTAAATTATGAAGCTGTTAAAATTCCCAAGTGGTCTTCTCTTTCAGAGATGCATCCAGTAGACTATTACTCATCTTACACCAAGAATTGCACAGGAGAGTTCACAGACCAGGAAGTGAGAAATATTAGAGCTTTTTATTATGCCATGTGTGCAGAGACAGATGCCATGCTGGGTAGGTGATGCTTCATTGTACACTGAGTTTCCTTGTTATGATGTTTTTAAGAAATTGTTGATAGGGAAAAAAAAAACAACCAAAACAAACAGACAAACAATCCCCCACAATTCAGACCTAGGAATAAGTCTGGGATGTTTCTTACTCAATCTATGTAATAAATACCTGCATAGCTTTTAAGGATTTTTCAAGAAGACATCAGAGCAAACTGGAAAGTGATCATGACCACCAGTTAGAGACCCCATGAAAGCCCAGCAGCTGCAGCAGAATATGGCTTGACCCACGTGCAGGAGGAACGAAATACTCTTTGGATAAGTGCTGCAGTACTGAAATGATGGAGCCAGTTGTGAAGAGGACAGACAGCAAAGCAGAGGTGGAAGGAAAGATAAACTTCAGGGCATAATCAGTTTCCTTGGAGATTGATTTGAAATGGATAGACTGGATGGCAGCTGTTACACATAGAACTGAAAAATAAGGTTACCTCTGAAGTCTCCCATAGCAACATAGTATTGAGAGTTAAGAAGAAAAAAATAATTAAAGGGGCATTCAGAATTCTTCCTAGCTTGCAATAAGGTCTACATACATAGAAATTACAATGCAAATTGGTCTTCATTTACAGTGTTTTATTTCTTAATTTGAAAAGTGGCCATAAAAAAAAGCCCAAGAATTGCCTTATGTTCTAATAGGAAATTCATTGATAAATAAGCTAGTATTTTTAAGAATGTAAGAGTGTAAAGTAATTTAAAAGACACAGAATTACTTTTCCACATTTTGTGAAAGAAAAGACATCAGTGGGAGCCTGACAGGAGTAAGGGATGAAGCTACTGCAGAGTGACTGCAATGGAGTCTACTTGGGTAACAAAATATTTGACGTTTTTAATTAGTCTGTTTAATCAAGAGTCACCTCAGTGTTTTGGCATTAAAGATGTGCAGGTGCTTTGCTCAGTTGCTGACTTGGTTGATCTTGGCCCTGTCTTTTTTGTCACAAACAGCAAGCAGATGTTTGTGCAGGGCCGAGGTGGGGCTGCTGGCACAGGAAGGAGAAGCTCCTACAGAGGACGTGCGTGGTGGACACAAGAGTCCCGCACCCTAAATCTGGGGTCAGGGCTCCTGCTGGCCCCTGCTGCTGGGAGCTGGGAGGTGTCCCCAGTGTCTCCTTGCTGCTGCAGGTGCTGTGATCTCTGCCCTGAGGGACACGGGGCTGCTGGGGGGCACGGTGGTGATGTTCACTGCAGACCACGGGGAGCTGGCCATGGAGCACCGGCAGTTCTACAAGATGAGCATGTACGAGGGCAGCGCCCACGTGCCCCTGCTGGCCATGGGGCCTGGGCTGAAGCAGCAGCAGCACATCCCAGACGTGGTGTCTCTCGTGGATATCTATCCTACTATGCTGGGTGAGTTGGCTCATTTCAAACTGGTTTGGGGTTTTTTTTTTTCCCCCACAATTGCTGTTATTATGCATTTGTGTTATCGTCAGGATTACACCTTCACCTTGTGAGGTGAAACAACAGGAGATGGCTTATCTCTGGAGGACTTAGTACAAAATGAAAAAAATGGATATAAAAAGTCTTAAAAGGAGGTGATGATGTTCCTTATTACTGTTACTGTCATCAGCACAACTGCAGTGAATGATTAGATGTAGGATTATTTGTTATTTAAAAAAAACTGATCAAAAACAATCAGATGCATGTTAGATGTGGATAATCCTTGCTAGGCTTCATGCCTAACAGTTTTCTACAGAAATTGCATCCAGAGATGAGGTAAAACCTGAAAAAGTGACAGGTTCATTAGCTTATCAAAGGAACATCTTCTGTGAAGGGTCATGTAGAAGAAATGTGATGAAGATTTTGTGTAGGAAACATACAATTCATCTGGGCAAGCACAATGGGAATATGACAGTGGGTATCCATTCTTACCTTCTGTGGAAAAACTCATTGTGAGGCAGAGAATCAACTACCTGTGAGGCAGCTGAACTTGTGATGCAAGAGAAGCATCTCGTTGGAACTAAACGTTTGTTGAAGTCACTGTTTGTGGCTTTATCTAGGATCTTTTAGGCCACTGATCAGAAAAATGTTCTTTCCAAGGCAGTCTGCAAAGGCTGCTTTTTAAGAAGTGTCATGTGTGCACTGCAACTGCCTGAGAGAACATGGGGCAGCAGATAAAATTGTACTTCTAGCAGTAAAAGCCAGGGAAATACCCTCTTCTGTGTTCTGGGTTGAATTTCTAAAGGTGGAACAAAAGAGATTTCTCTGCCTATCTCTTCTCAAAACTTTTGAACCAATTATCCAGTTGAAAAGAGGATATAATCTGAGTGGGTTTATTTTCCAAATTCTGATATAAATTCTTCTATATATAATCTGTATTAGATGTGGTTCTTATATAAGTTGTGGTATTCTTTTTAAGTAGATAAAAGTCTCTATCTTTGTGCCTTTTCTCCAGATAATGTAATTGTTCAGGTGGGTTGAGCATCCTTCCTCCTTCTTCTCCTGCATTTCATTTGCTTTCCCAAATCTTTATGTTTACATGTCCTTTCCTTCTGTTCTGGCAGTTCCCCATTCCTGTAATCTGAATGTCAAAAAAGGCACCTCTGTCAAGGTGTAAATATGAGGAGTCATCTTCAGCAGGCTGCTGCTGGCTGCTGAGGAAACAGATCCCACTCTGTGATAAGTGCAGTCCCTCTGCTTTGCTCTGTGTCAGGGCAGTCTCCTCTCCTGGACTCCATCTCTGTGCTTGGCTCAGTGCTTCCTCCTCCACTGGGTTTGAGGTCAGCTGTGCCCTGTATTGACCTCTGGTGCTGTCTGTGTCCCCAGCCTGCCAAGGAAGGGAGTGGCCCTGCTCCTCAGTTTCCCCACCAGCTACAGGTGATAACCACAGTCATAGAGCATCAGAATCACTTGGCTTGGAAACAGCCCTTAACCTCATGGAGCCCAACCATCCCCAGCACTGCCAGGTCCCCACTGCCCCGTGTCCCTCACCCCACATCTCCACGGCTTGGGAACCCCTCCAGGGGTGGGGACTCCACCACTGCCCTGGGCAGCCTGGCACAGCCCTGGGCAACCCTCCAGGGCAAGAAATTGTTCCTCAGGTCCAGGGATCACCTTTTGTAAAGTGTTGTGTTATTCAGTGCTGAGGAATGCGAGGTAGGAGCTTGGCACTGTTACCATCAGTGAAATGAACGCTAAGACCACGTTGGATATGGAGCCTTTAGAGTCCTTTCATGCTATGACAATCTCTTCCTCTTGCCTTAGGCAGTCAGAGCAGAAGGGAAGCTTATAAAACCAGGAGTAAAAAAACCCTAAACCCACCACCCATCGCTGGAGGCTCTCACCTCTAGAGGCAGTCACTTTTAATGCCTGTGGAAGGGTTATTTAGGCGTAGCTGGTACCGTTCCTGATGAGGGCAGCGGGCAGCTGCCCGTGCACAGCTCTCTGCGGGTGTTTGTTGCCGGGGGCACGTTTCTGGTTCCCGTGTCCCCGCGGGGGGCGGGGG